ATATTACCAAAGAAACCAATTTTACCACTTACTAACTAAGGCCAACAAGGCTTAACTCATATGCCTGAGATTTCTTATGTATTATTAAAATTTACTTGATTAATGCCAACTATTCAAAAATCCAAGAAGAGGCAAAAATGTCAGCATCTACTCTGAATAACATTTTAGTAGCTTTAACTATGCAGCTAAGATTTTTGATATTTGTGAGGTTGGTCAGTTGGATGGCTGATTGGTTGATTGAGTTTTTCTGCAAGGAGAGTTACACATAAAGGACATCAGTTTTTTCAGAGTTCCATCTTCAGGTAATTCTGACTCATACAGCTTTTCATTAGCTTAATCAGATGGTAGATTAACTATTAAAATGTAGTTTAATGTGGTGTCACAGCTCAATATTAAATGCAATATTAAATTCTCTTGTCTTTAGAAACCTTAATAATGTTCATTTCAAGCACACACTTAACAAATATATCAATAAATTTCTATTATGTCACTACTGCAAAGTAAATTTTCTTTAAAAAAGCTTGTACTTCATCACCCAAAATTATTTAAATATAATGGGCTAAATTATCATAGGAATAGAAGTTAATTAACTGTAATTAGCATGTCTCCTAGGAGTCAATAACATCTCAGGATTTCTAATTAGCTCTGAAATTTCATGGAGAATTGTCAAGTAAAATATTGTAGCAATCTTATTGATGCAACCAATAATTACTTGATATTTGTGGATAATGTATACCAGGCAAAAAATGTTATATAATTATTTGTACTGTATTTTCAATATAATTTTATATTGAAATTATTATATACATTACAATCTATGTAAAATGTTATGCACATTGTTCCAAATAAAATCCAAATGTATAAAGTCCCCCAGGTTCTAAAAGTAGCATGCATGACTGTCACTGATACTTTCTGAATTGTAGTCTTGTCATCTCTCAGTATCACAATGTCTTGCTTTCAAATTCCTTGCTCTCCCTTTTAGCTTCTATTTGACATCATTGGAAATATAATCAGCAAAGTCCAGTGTTCTTAACAAACACTGATATCAAGTCCTGTCTCTGCTCCAACGTAGCCATTACAGTGAATAATTTTATAGGTAGTTTGAGCCTGAAGAACCCTAAAAGATCCATTATAGCCTATTGTGTCAAATAAGCTTGCAAAAAGAGGCCATCAATTTGACTTTCAAATACAGAGTGAAATCACTCCCTGGGATCTATGAAGTGCATGTTAAGAGTCTCTCAATACACAAAGATATGAGTCATTTTATTCTAGTTTATCAATGACTCATCTTGTCCAAAAACTGCCCTAATCAGAGCCAAGAAAAGTCCCTTATTGGTTGATATATCACTAACCCTCTAGCCATTAAAAATGTCAAGAGAAAATTTAGATTTGGTCATTTCCCAAAAACTATTTAATTTGTGGCAACCCAAAGATTATCTCTACAGTGGATGATATCTACTAAGCTTTAAATTGTTTTAATTTTATGGAACAAGTAAAACAGTACATTGGCAACAGAGAGCCATATATTTTCTTGCAAATACCCTCAGTAATACAACTTAGTTTATCAAGTCAACAAAATTGATGCCTTGGCAGTCTTCAGGAGAGTAGTTTGAAACATGATAATTCTGGAAGAGGAAAGAGGAAACTTACTGGTAAACGCAACTATAAATAAAGCATGTATGCATGCTGCCCTATCTACAGAGTACTGAGGATATGTAATATACTGATGGTACCCCAGCTTTAAACATGAACCCAGCTGTCTATTATATGTATCTATATCCAGAGATATGGAATATCAAGTCCTAAGCTGACAAAAACAGGTTTCATTGATATAGTGAATAGTATAAGAATAAATATGTAACTAAATAGTCTGATCATAGTAATATTAACATTTTTATTTCATGATTAGAAGAATATCCCTACCTTAATGGAAATAACCCTGACCTTAACTGAAACAACAATAATCCCTCCCCCTGCAAAAAAATCTAGTGACCGTGAATTCTGTCTGTTTTGTAATCCTGAGATACAAAAGGTGAAGAAGAGAACAATCTTCAAAGGCCACAGAAACTTGGTTAGACTATCTCAATAACATTGTCTAAGACATTAACATATGGATCAAACCATCTAAAATCCATATTCCCATAAGATTTTCCACTTATTTCATTAATTCATATAAATAAATGTTATTGCCTGAGCCAGCTTTTCCAGCTTTAAATTTTAATAAAGATAATCAATGGGCTAACCAGACAGATTACAAAGGGATGGTAGAGAATAGATAGAACCTAGGAGGGATGAATGACAGCTAAAATACCTTTAATGGCATCATAAATTTCCTGGAGCTTTTTTAAGTTCATTCCTAATACTGTGGGAGGGTGGGTAAAGCATAAATATATAAAATGTTTAGTTCTCACAATTTAACAGTTGGAGCACAAAAGTAACCTTATAAAGATAGAGATATATAGATAGATATCATATAGATATATTTGAGTCTGCATGCTACCTAGTGGCAGAAAACTTTTTTAATTCTCTCTTTTTTATTTTTAATTACTCATATTTACATATCCATCACCCCCATTCCCTCCCGCTTGGTTTGGTCCAATGCTATTTCCCCAGGTTTATGAGTAAGGTCTCCATTCTATCAGTAGGTCAGGTCCACTGTTTCTGCAGGTCTCTCCACCCCCATCTTGGCTCCTTTGCTCAACCCTCCTCCCTCTCCACAACTGAATTCCAGTAGTATGGTTCAGTGCTTAGCTGCGGGTGTCTGTTTCTGCTTTGAACAGCAACTGGATGAAGACTCTCCTTCCTCTCCTGACCCCGGGCTTCAATTTGGTCAGGGGTTCTTGTCCCCATCCTCTTCGTCGAGGGATTAGGCAATCTTCTCTTGGGGTCCTCCTTGTTTCCTAGCTCCTCTGGAAGGGTGTTTTGTGGGCTTTGGAGCCTATCCTGGCACTCTCTCTGGAGACCAGGCTGTCCTCGAACTCACAGAGATCTCCCTGCCTCTGCCTCCCGAGTGCTGGGATTAAAGGTGTGCACCACCAACGCCCGGCTCTCTATAATTTTTGATACTTGTGCTTACCAGAAATTCTTAATTAAATACTCAGCATTGTAATCTAATTAATTTCTAACACAGGTAGAAATAAACTGATTCAACCCTTAAGTACTGGGACTAGAAAGATTGCTCAGTGGTTAAAAGCAATTGCTGCTCTTGCAGAAGACTTAGGTTTGGTTTTCAGTGCCCATATTGCAACTGTCATTACTGCTAGTTGCAAGATACATGATGCTCTCTGAATCCTAAAGGGATCTGCCTATGTATGGTATGCATAAACTTATGCAGACATACACACAAAATCATAAATAAAAATAATAAATAAATCTTGAAAAGAAACTGGCAGCAAGTACAAGTTAGAGTAGCTTCAAACTATATTAAAAAAACAACAAACCTTAAGTACTTACAGTTTTCATAGAAGGTAAGTATCTAGCATACAGGACAGCAATTCTATAATTCTGCAAGTGCTAATTAGTAAGCACATTACTTTGGTGGACAGTAAATGTAAGGTCTTAGTTATTCATTTCTGCCACTATGGTAAGAAAGCATCCTAGTCAATACATTTTCAAACAGGCATGCCTGTGCCACCATCACATTTATTCATACAAAGGGGACTGAGCAGGCTTAAAGTGCACTTTATGGGTCCTTGGAGTAGAAAATGGATCACTTTCCAAATACAGAAAACATAATTCACTCTGTTGTAGAATACTCTGTACAGAATTTAAGATGGAATGCTACCAAACCACAAGTAACTGTTAAGTATTCTGTCTGTCCAAGATTCAGTATTAGATGCTATGAAGGTGTAATATTAATATAAGATCAAGTTCTTATCCTCAGGAAACTCATGATTTTCCAGGGAATCCAAGACTTGAACTAAATACATTGACAGCAATACTAGATATTATGTAATGAAGTAATAGGAGCATAAGTGTAAATTAAGCTCAGGCCTTAGAGGACTCCACTGGGGATAGACATTTATTTATTATATTTCACATAAATAAGTTGAGTGAATAACATTATTATCCCAGGAAAAGAAAAGTCACTGCTTTCGTTATCAGTTAGCCTGTTATGCAAAATTACCTGTTATTCTACATACCACTTCCTTGACTGTCTATTATAAAAGAGATTTTCAAACATCTGATTAAGAATACAATATAAGGCCATATGAAATTGAACTTAAGATTATATTTTAATGATGCTAGGGAAATATAGAATATTACCATTTATATTCAGGAAATACTATCAACCTCACAGAAATTTTTAATTGGTATTATAAGTTAGCTTGAAACCAGAGGCCTAACCCAAAAGAAATAATTCCAGACAAGATTTAGAAGCATTAATAGTGTTATTTCAAAAATCAAAAGCTGTGGTTGTATTCATTTGTCTTGTATCAGACCCAGTGGTAATTAGCAACAAAAAGCTAGACATTGAGTTTTTAAACTGCCATGGAAGAATGTCCAAAGTAATATGGGTTTTCAAGTACAGCCATGTGAGAATCAATACATTTATAAAAATATTCAAAGCTTCATCTCAAGAGAAGTATTTCTGCCAAGGCCTTATGTCCAGGGCCTGATAAATTTTTATTCTGAAGTACAAGGTTGGGGTGATTTGTCAAACAAGAAAGATCTTACAGTGTTGTTTCCCCACAATTTTACCTTTGAAATTTATGAGCTACTGAATAGCCTTACTGTGCATAGCCTATTCTGTCTCTTTTGAAGTTTGTTGTTATTAAATAAGAATAGGAATTAAGTTTTAAGAAGCATAGATTGACAAAAACCCAGTACCAAGCACAAGAAATATCCCAAAACAATGTAAGCTATTTCTATTGCCCTTGCTTACCTCTCAAAGGTTGAATATAAGGCCCTATTGTTAAACATGTTATACACTTAAGACACAAGTCTACTATGACTTGAGCTGGATCTAACCTGAAATCTCCTTTCTGTGTCTCTCATAGTATCAGAAAGTATTATTCAAGATGCTAATGGAAGAAGGCAATTAGTAGTCCTACCCAGCAGTGACACCTATGAACCACAACAATGGCAGGACATCTGCAAAAGTGCAGTAGAGGCACTCACGTTTGGTAGTAATCAACAGCAGTCTCATTGTACTTGACAACTACTTGGCAGGTGGGAAACCTTCCTGGTCCTGAAGACCTAGCCAGCTTCCCATGGCTATTGAGGTCCTGAATCCTAAGAAAAAGTCTACTGCTGCCATTTTGCTAGGTCAATATAATTCCTAGCTACACTCTAAATATTACTCATATAGACAGATGTTATCTATCACCCTTCTCATCAAAGAAGCTTCTCTTTACAGCAAATGACAAGCATTACAGAAAATCACAACAGAGACAATGCAGAGATCAATGAATCACAGTGACCCTAGCCCTCAATAAATTTATCTACATCACAGCTTCTGCATTCATGGCTCAGGGAACATCAGAGAAGAGGAAGTGAAAATGTTATGAGAGCCAGAATATGAGGAGTCCAGCTGTAAGACTATGTCTCCCAGAAATGGCTGCATAAATAGGACTTGAGTAGTCACAATAGCAATACATATGCTAACAGGGAAGGGGAATTTTTATGGTTTCCTACCCCTACACAAAGATGTACAGGCAACTAATGAGTGTGGAGAGAGGGAGTATCAGCACTTTCAGGCATGAACATCCTAATTGGCTATCCAATGCAAAGTGGGCAGCCCCCAAACCACATGCACTCTCTAACAACAAAAATGGACTCAGTAAGCTTTATTTATATGTTGGTGCATATATGTAACAAGAATAAAGGAAAAGACTTTCAATTTAGAAGTGGGTGGGGCAAAAGTGAGTTGGAAGGGGAACATGAGAAGGTATAAATGGAAGAAAGGGAAGAAGTGGCATAAGTATATTCTCATTTAAAATGTACTTTAAAGTAGTTGGAATTAAATGGAGAGTTCAACTGGGGATCTTGCAGTCTTTTGATGGCTGCCACAGACACCAAATGCTTCCATTCTTTTGCTCATTAACTTCTGGACACCTTTGAATGCTCTTGCCATGACCTTGTTTTGCTTATTTCTTTGTGATGCCCTTAGCAGATTTTTTTTATTCATTCTCCTTCTTAGGGACCTCCACCACCACCAATGTAGAGACACATGTGTCTCTGATTCTGTTATGCAGAATCATAGCTTTCCTTTTAATTCTAAGTGAACTACAAGAAAAGATTGAAAACTGGTCGAATTCAGACTTAGGTTCTTGAAATATAACAGCTCAGCACTGATGGGAACAGCAGAAAATGAAACCAAGGAAGGTTACTCTCTGATCTTTGGCCACCAATCCTTCCCCTTCTGTCAGGCCATAGGATGATATTGGATAAATGCCCTCTGAAACCTGAGAGAAAGAGTCTTCTTTCTGAGCATGCAGGATGTACAAAGAAGACTGACTCAATCACCAGTGAGATGTGGCTCTGTCCTTTCTCTTTCCTTTCTCTTTTGGGCTTGCATACAGACTGCTGCCATGCTGGCTGGCTAGGTCGCTCTGTAAGTAAGGCTTTTCCCTATTAAATACCCTTATATTTCTACCTGACTCTGTATTGGCAATTTCCCACTATATGTCCTCTCATCATATTCCCAAGACTCTTTATCAAACCTTAGCTTAAAAAATCACAAACAAGTGCCCACACAAACACACACACACCCACACACCCACAGACACACACACACTCACATACACACACATACACACACACACACACACACACACACACACACACACACACACACCATATATTCCATTCATTGTGCCTCCCTTTATATATCCCCTTCAAGTAATATAAAACTTACACTTAATTGCCAAATATGTTTGCATTTTTTCTTACTAGTTGAATTTGGCATAGAGACTTAAACCATAATTTTTTGATATAAACTCTTAATAGGAGAAAAGAGGCTTTTTATTCAATAATAAAAACAAACAGGTTGACCAATCAACCATTGTCAGTGACTCTAATATACTCTTCCTGTGCTTTGCTCCATCAATGTATTGAGCTGCCCAATAGTTTACATATATGTAAATTCAACTTAAAACTAGAAATTATTATTTCAAAACTATTTAAGGTTTCTTTTTTATAGATAATCTAAAATTAATTAATACTGGTATTCCCTCGGCATTTTTTCCTCTTAAGAGTTCTTTAGGGCAACCCATCAGCAACTAGGTGAGTGACCCCCTGCTTTTACCCAACTCCTGTCCAAGTGCCATTCACCCAGATGTCCCCAGGCTTGTCTCTGCTTGAAATAGACACGCCAAGGCAGGGAGGAGCTCCCTGAATCCGGTTACAGGCCAGTCTTCCTTCCCTTTCCGACCCATCAGCAACTAGGTGAGTGACTCCCTGCTCTTACCAACTCCTGTCCAAAGAGCCATTCACCCAGATCTCCCCAGGCTTGTGCCTGCTTGAAATAGACACGCCCAGGCAGGGAGGAGCTCCCTGAATCTGGGTACAGGCCACTTTTCCTTCCCTTCCCACCGACCGATCAGACCAATCCGCAAGGAGGTGAGTGATCCACAGCTCTTACCCAACTCCCTTTCAAAGCCCCATCCACCCCGATCTCCCCGGGGCTGCTCCTGCTTGGGGTAGACCAGCCCAGGCAGTGAGGAACCCCTAGATCCTGGAAAAACCCCACTCTTAATTCCCGTCCCGCCCCCACACACCCGATCCCTATGGAGGCCTAACTCCTTCAGAGTGAGGAGACTAC